TTGGCTAAGCCCAAAATGTTATAAATTCCTAACAGTGCCTCTGTTGTAAACACACCGTTCATTCTTCAAAGGTCAATGAATTAACAGTGATTTGCAGGCATAGGAATGGGTGTGGAGGGATGGGAATGACCCTTTGCTATCGAATCTATTTGCTATGCGGTCAGTGAAATGGGTGTGTTTTGTGAAGGGGCTCGAGTTCTCTCATTTTCACTTCCAGGGGTCTCAGACGTTGAGGGAATGACCAAAGAGTGGTCACATCCAGTCAGCTTCAATTACAGCCCCTTGTAGTTTTCCCAGAGGTGCACTATAGCTCTTTTAAGGGAAAATCAATGAGGTGACAAATTGTTGTGGACAGCAACCCCTTTTATTTCTTACATTGTTGCATCCATGCCTGGATGCTGCTCTAAGCATGTATAGGTGTGTTCTTTTGTGCGAGTGTACGCTTGTGTTTACGTGGCTTGTATACATAAATGAACAGTTCCATCTATGATAATGAGGGCTTTGGTCCATTTGTGTTTCGGTGGTTTATTTTCTGCTCATGACTTTAATGGCTTGTTATCCATCTAAACTTGTTTTTAAATGCACTCTAATGGGTGTTGCATCACTCAGTAATGTTCATTGCCACTTTGGTTTGTTTATATATCACAGTTAACCATGTTAAAGATTTTTGTAAGGTTCTTTCTCCATCTCCACCATTTTTCAGTAAGTGCCTTTTTATTGAGATATATACAGATTAATTCATGAATGTTTTCAGATAGAGTCCATATGAATCTGGTGCTGAAATGATAAATTAACTTGTTTCAATTGATCAAAGTTCAGTCTTCAAAATCTTTTAGTCAATATTCTTGATTTGTAAAAGTGAAAAACAGTCTAATTATCACTTAAGGCTTATAGAACTGCATCAATGTGTACCATCCATTACATTGTAATTTCCCATTTCATAGCATATTTTATGGGTTGAATAGATTCCCCCCTCACCTGCGAGCTTATCAACAGGTTCCCAAGGGGTCACAATATTAATGCAATACATCTCTCTGTCTCTTGTCTCTGCAGGAAAAGAAGAGTATGTTGCAACCTTCAAAGGATCTGAGTTCTTCTGCTACGACTTATCCTTGAACCCGATTCAAAGCAGCAGTGATGAAATCACATTGTCATTCAAAACGCTCCAGAGGAATGGACTGATGCTGCACACGGGCAAATCAGCTGATTACGTCAACCTGGCACTGAAAAATGGGGCAGTCTCACTCGTCATTAATTTGGGGTCTGGAGCCTTTGAAGCTCTTGTGGAGCCAGTCAATGGGAAGTTTAATGACAATGATTGGCATGATGTCAAAGTAACAAGGAATCTACGTCAGGTAACAGTACAGCGGGTGATACAGAGACTCAGTAAATGAATCAAAACAAATGCACTTAAGTCATTACCATCATGATTTCTTGCAGAAATTGTAACTGGATTGCAAATTGAATCGTGGTGGTTTATGGTGGAGACTAAAACAGCACCTCTATTAAGTTATGATTTAGTGGAAAAAAGGGAATGCTTTCTGCTTTTTTCAGGTGACCATAACGAAGCCAGAAATTATTATCATGTAGCTTTAAGGAAAATATTATTATTATTATTATTATTATTATTATTATTATTATTATTATTATTATTATTATTATTATTATTATTATTATTATTATTATTATTATTATTATTATTAATTAAATCAGTATCTTTTAAACAAAATAAGAGTAGACTGTTGCTCCTTATATATATATTATATACTGTATCTGTCAGGGATGACACAGTTGTTTTGAGAATATTCTGTAACTTTGTGAAATGATACTTTTCAGGCAAATGGCAACATTCCCTCCAATGAGATCTGTGGCCTTTTTGTAATAGCAGATGTAGCAGGGCCCTGAATAATTAGAGGACTGTCCATGTTTAGCAACAGAGCTGTATGCCATCAAGAGTCCATAAGAGAGAGGAAAGACAAATTGCAAGACCAGTCTGTCCTGTTTCTGATTCTGTTGATTGCTGATTCGTACCAGTGCAACACATATTAAATGCAGTCAGGATGCACCTGTACGTCTGCCTGGGGCTGAATGGACATGGCTTCAATACCATTCTGTCAGACCTGTGGCTGATCTGAAGAGATACGTCTTTTTGATGCACACTGCAATACTTTCTCTGTGGCCTTCCTCTATATTCTTTCCTATATCATCTTTTGTGAGCTGGTGCTGGGTCAATCGGTCAAGATTTCACTCTACCTGAGGGGTAGAAGTTACATCTTCAATGGCCAGATCCTGATGATTGTTTCTAGCTAACCTGAGTTCCAGCAAATTATTTGATCGAAGTGTGAGGTCTCCTTAACCGCTGAGGAGCCATCAGGTGACAGAGTGAAATGGACATGTGGCCTTTGGGATGAGAAACAGTTAGACAAATCAATACTACAAGTGTCCTGTTAGGAAAAGACAAGACGAGCCAACAGCCTCATTGCAGAACAGGTTTGCTGCTGATCTTCACCCAAGAAAATTCTACTTCATTACTTTAGGAATGATTGGTCACCTGCCTAGCTTCTTTATCCACTTCTGGGTACACCACCAAGTAAACTGCCCTTATTTTATACTACGGTTTGCTATGGCAGCAATTTTATTTGTTGTAGATCTTTAAGCTGAATATAGTATACCAGTCATCTCAGTACTGTGAGTAAAACGTCTCTGTTTATGTTTATGAAGTCAAAAATTCTGTTAGATTGTGTAGCCTTTGTTAATTGTCAAAGATAGCTGTTTTTGTTTGCTACAATATTATTCTAAGATTGTCTCCAGCAACTATCTGTTTTTATAACTATGACAACATTTCTAGATTTGTCCCTTCTCTTTGGATTGGGGATGTTTATCTTCACCTCCTTACAAAAGTTGCTTCTGTTGCATAATCAGTATTATTGGCAAACCAAAGGATTTCACCACCTTCAACATTCACTGCCTTCAAATTGTCAAAGAAAACCAGGCAATATTGAGTGCATGCTGTGCAGGGGGATCTAATTTCCATCTCCCACATTCCTGGCCAGGGTCTCCTGTGCTTTTTGTCTTTTTGCAGTAAAGTGATCCTAAAGTTCATCAATAAGACCAACACACTGTAAACGTTTGGATTGGCAAAAAGCTTCAAATTAATTAAGATTAATAGAATATCAACAGTTGCAAAAACATTTAATTTATGTCTAACGAGGGTCAAATGATGTGCTTTAGGCCTTTTTTTATAAAGCACTCCTTTGATTAGGATTTGGTAAGAAGACTTTTTTTTTCTGGAACTCAGCAGTCTGAGTATATGTAGGACGTACCATGGAAAACTCAGGCAGTCACTGGTTGAGCTCTAGCACCTCTTGTGGCGCATTCTTGTTTTCCTTGGTCTGCTTTTTTCTTGTTAAACTTATTTTGCCCTTTTTCCTCTTTTACTAACATGCTTTGGAAACAAACTAACATCATTCATGGAATGTGCCATTCTACTAACCAGTATGGTTTTTGCCGTTTAACAATGTACTAACAGTATTGACCATCATATATTATTTGAGTAACAATCGTTATTCTGTTCACAGTTTTTAATTTCCTTTCTCCCCCCTTTTCCACAAAGCACTCAGGCATTGGACACGCTATGGTAAACAAACTACATTGTTCGGTAGATATCATTCTAATTGTTTCTTAGTTTGGGTTTGCCGTGTGTTTCTTTTCTTTCTTTTTTACTGTAGACGTCATTTGCCCAAAAAAAAAAAAAAAAAAAAAAAAGGAAATTGCGGTTGGTACTCTTTTGCTTACTTTCTGAATCTTTTTAGTTTTGGGTTCATTCATTGGTTTCACCATCTTTCTTTATTTCACTTGTTCCCTGTCCAATTCTGTTTGATCCACTTTTTAGGAGCATCATTTCAGGCCTTTTGCATCAAGCTGTGGTTACTATTGAGGACGCTCTTCTGGGCTGGTCTGATGCTCTTTGGCTCAGCCAGCTCTATCTCCATTCACTGTGGCATGCTTTTTGCCTACATGTTGCAAATGTCAAACAACCCATTTGTCAACATGAATAAGACACATCGGAAGTGTTTGTCCTTTCTTTTTGATGCTTACATTTTTATCTTTGTGGTTTTGCAGTGTCCATGGGCTTTTGCATGCAGCCGACACTGTACCACTCACTAAAATAAGGATTCTGTCACCCACAAATGATGGGAAGTTTTATTTCTTTTTTTTTTGGTATGTTGATAAACAAAAAGAAAAGACAAATACATGCATGTCTTTTGTTTGTCTTCTTACCCCAAGTCATTGTCCTCTACAGTACTAAAAGGTGACTGTGCTTCTACAGCATGAGCTCCCTCTCTAACCACGTGGCACGTTTTGGTTTCTTTTCTGTAACTGCTGAATGTACTAATATAGAATAATAGATTAACTAACCAAGGTAACACGTTACTAACACCATTTTTGTGTCTGCTGAAGTATTCTTAAGTTGCACTAGTAACAATACTAACACAGTTGTATGAGTAGTGTACTAACTCTCTAACTACACTAGCATTCTTTGAAGTCATGTAACCTTCCAGCTAATCAAACTGGACAAAATAACAACAGCAAAAAAAGAAAAAACAAGAAAAAAAGACACTGAAAACAGACATGAAAATGGGTTTTCCAATAAATAAACGTAGGGAAGTATACCATAGACATAAAAAGAGAAAGGGAATGTCTTAAAAGTAAATAGGCTGTCTCAGTATAGTATGTCCTTTCCCTGTGCTTTATTGTCTAGGTAACAATATCCGTGGATGGAATTCTGACCACCACGGGATATACACAAGAAGACTACACCATGCTAGGCTCCGATGACTTTTTCTATGTTGGAGGGAGCCCTAGCACAGCTGACCTGCCTGGATCTCCAGTTAGCAACAACTTCATGGGTTGCCTCAAGGAGGTAAACACCACTTCTATTTGAACTTGTAGGCTGGTGGGTGGACTCGATGCACCTTAGGACTCCAGAACTGGACCCTCCACCCACACACTGACCTTGTCTCCACCTAAACACTTTGCTTTCGTCTATTTTTCCTCTTTTTCCTCACACACTGTGAAAAACTTTTTCCGACACAAGTTCAACCCCCTCCACTTGAGGCACATGTAGTGTTCTGGCTTACAGCTGCTCTGTCAGATGCACAACAAAGAGGTGCAGTGGTCCAGACATGAGGAAGATTAATTTTCATGAATTGTCATGCCGCTAACACTCTTAACACTCTTCTATTGTTGGAGAGTATACTGCAGCAGACTGATAAACATCAGAGCACCTATCTGAGACATGCCTTAACTCTGTATGTTTGATGTCAGTGGTATGTAATATGTGTGTTTACTGAGATGGTACTTCAAAAGTGTGAGGCATTTGGTACCTGAACCGGAGAATTTTATATCAATTTATGCTCCCAAATGATTTGCTCCCAGTGAATTCTGTACACTCTGTATCATGGATGCATCACAGTGTAATGAGCCATTCCTATCTCACTGAAAACTTAAAGATTTTTTAATTTGTCACTTGCTCCTTATTTGAAGTAGCATTTAAGAAGAAGGTATATCACACCGGGGGGTTCATTAGTTAAACCCCTCTGAGTGATCTGTCCAGGAATGTTTTTGATTCTTTTATGGTTAATATATACCATATTCTTCAACAGTCTTCAACTTTAGAATGTAAAGTCCCAAGTGTACTTTAAAATGATTCATTCATCTTTCTGTTAGCTTTCTTTACTTTTGATGTTCAGTATTTTGTACCCTACCTCAGTGATCTCTTGTAGAAAACTCAGAACGACTGAAAAGGCAGCCGCATTGAATGAGTTGGAAGGATGTGATACATATGTCCACATAGAGCCCATACCAAGTCAGATTGTAAAGAAGTCTATCTTAGTTATGTACATAGAGTACATACTGTGTGGCGATATAAAACTGGTTACAATAGAAATGGAAGTTTGCTCTTGCTCTTGGCCTGCATAAACATATAAACTTCTCTCTGTTCTAAGACTAATGGCATGAACTGCTCTTTTACAATGTTAAAAATTGTTACTCTTGCAAGGAGGATTGAAACAGGACATGTCTCACCATATATTTACTTATGTTCTATTCTTATTTACTCCCTCTAGACAAATGTGTTAGTGGTCAAAGAAAGAAAGAAACCCTATAAAATATATGATTTCCTTTAAAAGGTAACTTACAGGTTAGCATCCCTTTTAACCAGAGCATTATTTATAAAGACAACAGCTGGTCAAACAAGGTCAAGTGTAACATTAACAAATGTGGACTGACAAGAGATCAGAGATATAATAAATATACATGCTTACACACACATTAGGTTACATCATTTTAATTATGAGCTTGCTAGGCTTCAACAAAACAAGGAGCAAATAATTCTTAGAAATAATGGCCATGAAAGAGTAATTAATTTCTAGGGAAAGAAAAAAACAGAGAACTGAATTGGCACCCTTGTGAGTTACTGATGTTAGCTGTTTATTCTTTTACTTTGTATTTAGTGTTCAATCGAATAAAACAACCAAAGCTGGCTTTTTATAAAAAACTATTACTACACTAAACAGGAATTAATTGACAAGGATGGAATGAGGGGCTATTAGACTGAGATTTTCTTACATAAAAATCAAAATGGTGTTTGGTGGCACAGACTTGGATAGCATGAAGGAGTTAAAACAAAAATAAAAACAGTTGAAAGTCTTGATTATAAATATGCAATTAGTTGCATTAAAAAATAAGAGTTTTATTACAGTTCCTATTTCCACTGAGGTGAATCACTGACTGATGTTGTGTCCTTTGCTCCAACGGTGCTGGAACCAGAGTATGCTGCCAGTGGGGGCACCACTGAACTGATTGCTTGCAAGTAGGAAACTGGAACAGTTGTCAATCTGCTCCAGATTAATCAGAAAAGTCTTGTCTCTTTACCTAAATAAAATTCATCCATCAACTGGTAGGTCATACAAAACATACAAATGCATTTCAATCATATTTTAATTTTTAAGGATGAACACTATATTTATATAGTGTATTAATACTTTATTTAGACATCCCAATTGCTAGATTATTTATTCTTTGCTTCATTAGAAAATCAGCAAGCTATGTCATCTCTAAGCTGACAGAGTGAAATTGAATAGAAGCCCCACCTCAGGTGAGCTGCTGTCATTGTTGGGAGAGCAAATGAGCTGTGGTCTAACAGTATGTGCAGTGGGCCCTGATTGATAACATGTTCCCAAATGGTTTGAAATAGTATTTCTGTGCAGATTCCAGTCAGAACTGCCCCACCTGCCTATTGGTTCTGTTGGCAAAACAAACTGTGGTGCAGTAATAGCTCAGTTGTCACAGCTCTGGTTAGATGACAAATTAGTGCAGCACCAGTAGTGCAGCAGCCGGCAAAACTCAGACCAAAGCTTGTTTAACTCTGAAAAGTGCCCAATCCTTTTGATATAACATTTATTGTGGTTTATTAGCTGTATCTGTCCCACCTTTACCTGGATGACTCATGTCTAGCATAAATACATATTGAAATATGATACACAAAGTTAAATAGTTCCAGTAACAAAAAAGAGCCCAACTTCTTAGACACCATTAGAAGTCCCATCTATTGTGATGCTTGAACACAATGAGTCTGACCCAGTGACAAACAACATACTCCGTGCAAATGCATTCCTATTGGAGGATCCCACATTTTAGTTGCTTAGTGTATATAAAGCAAAGCTATTTTTTTCTACAACTGTAATTCGTTTGATTTAGCCCAGTGGAGTCAATCTAGACCCCCATTTCAGCTCTTTGGTAATGTGTACACATGCATAACCCAGCCCTATATGGGCTGTCCTTTATAAAATAATCTCTTTTATTAGTGAATAGTGCTGGCCTTGTAGAAGAGATATTTGGCAGTGCTTGTGTTGTGAGGTCTCAGTGTTTATGATATTTGCTTCTTAAACTAATTGGCATATTATTTTCAAACACACCAAAAGTGCCTATTTCTGAGTTGAATAAACAGCGACCGTACTGACATTTGCTTAAATGTTAATTAGTTTCTCATTTGGAAATTGGATGTAATCAGACAGAGGAAATCTTGCTATTACACCTGCACAACTGCAGTGGATACTCTTTCATTATGGAGATTGGATAATAAGGTTATGCCTATTTTTTTCCATTTTTTGAAGACTGTTGCTAATCACACTGCACTTTAGTATTGACTTTTATGCAGTTTGCCATCTAGTTTCTCCTGCAAAAGTGTTAGAACAATTTTGGTTTTCACAGTAATGATGTGATACTATTTAATATCTCATTTTGTTTTGCTGCAAATTGGTATAAAAACAGTTTTTAACTACACTGGTTCTTACTTTTTACCTTCTTTTGATCAGCAATGGTGACTGATTCAATGCATTCAATCGATGTGTCTTCTGATGTTTAAACGTGTGTGGTTTATGTAAGAACTGATTATGATACTGTGGAACTTTTTAATGGAGATACTTTTCATCAGTCAGTTTTCCAAATTGTTTGTGGGAACTTAATGTTGCAGTATGAGTAAGCTCATACATTTATTTTTACTTAGCTTAAGAACATTTGCCAACTTTCATTGAAACACAGTCTCCAACTGGGATCTTTATCAGCAGTTTGTACCACACCTGCAATAGTCACTGGTTTAGATTTATCACTTTCTCCTCTCACTTGCTGCTTAGAACTCTAAGAGATATTATCAGATATATCCCTCCAAAGCATTATCGCAGTGAAATTATAAATGCTGGCTGTCTCTTCCTTCAGCTAACAGGAAAACAACAGTAAAAATGAAAATACATGTCTCATTTCTGGACTTTTCATCTGGCCATAGTACACTGTGTACTTTCTGGGAAGCGTACAGATTGAGAACAAAGAAAGCATAGTGACATGAGTGACATTTGGTGCCACATAAATGCAGCTACTCACACACAGGTGCAGCATGACGGAGCTGACCAGTGGATGATGCGGGCAAACCCAGTGTATGACATACTGTCCTCAGGAGGAAATGTCACATGGACAACTGCTTTCATATCTTAAACAACACATTCCCATTTACACTCTGCAACTTTGTTTCATGTTACTGTTTGCATGATTGTAGAAATAACTTTATGTCTCTAATTCCGATTCAGGTTGTGTACAAAAACAATGATGTAAGGCTTGAGTTGTCCAGGCTGGCCAAGCAAGGTGATCCCAAGATGAAGATCCATGGCACTGTGGCCTTTAAGTGTGAGAATGTGGCCACTCTGGACCCTATCACATTTGAGACGCCCGAATCTTTCATCATTCTCAACAAGTGGAATGCTAAGAAGACAGGGTCCATCTCCTTTGACTTTCGCACCACAGAGCCCAATGGCCTTCTGCTTTTTAGCCATGGGAAGCCCAAGCAGCAGCCAAAGGATTCCAAGAATCCCCAGACATTCAAGGTGGACTTCTTTGCCATTGAGATGCTGGATGGTCATCTGTACTTGTTGCTTGATATGGGATCAGGAACCACAAAGACCAAGGCAGTTAATAAGAAAGTCAATGATGGCGAGTGGTACCATGTGGACTTCCAGAGGGATGGAAGATCAGGTAAATTTCAAAGTCTTGCAATATGAAATACCTGCACAAGCAATTGAAAAGAACACCTTAATTCACAACAAATTGAAATTATAACATGTTTGCATGTGCTTTCTTTAGCCCAATCCAGTTTGACCCATTAACTCACCTTTGCTCCTATTTCCCCATCCTTTATAGAATGGGGGTTTGGATTAAGTCATATTAATTATGTTTACCGCGTTTTTAATACATAGCCCAGTTGAGTAATCACATATGGCAATATCTTGCTCATGTTAATTTCATTCATAAAAGACATATAATTGCTAACAAACATATTGTTAATTAAAACTATGTTCATTGTAGTTAATTGTGAAATGTTTTCTTACATTTGTCGTGTACACTAAAAATAATGCAAAACAAGGCCTGTAGCCTTGCAGCTGTAGTGAAAGTGCAGTTAATTAATATTTATCCATCTGTAGTACTAGTTACTTCATGCAGGTCAGCTTCGCTAATTTTGTGCATTACCACATTATTAGCAGTATTTGGAAAATATTTAATAAGGTTCTATTTTGAAGTAGTTAGGTGAAAAATCATGGAATGGCATATTTGTCTTGTGTTATAAAAAAATGACTTCATCTCTAACTGGGGCAGTTTGTAAGCACATGACATTGTGTCCCATTAAATTAGCTGCACAAATATTGTTGTGCAATCTCTGTTGTTGCTCTTTTTTGTTGCTTAACAGACAGGTATTTGAATGCATTAAAACAAATGGCATGATATCTCGTGAACTTGGTTATATACCAGTTTTTAGAGGAAACAAATACATTCGTGACAATGGTGACTTTACTGTTCAAGTAAAGTAAATTACTTTGAAACTAGTTTAAAATGGTAAAGATGGATGGAATAAAATCAAGGTGAAAGGGAAAAGCTCAAAAAAATTCAATGTATGGACAGGTTTCGACAATCTTGTATACAACGAGGTGCTAGTTTATATTCTAAGTTACATGCTTAGAGTCATCTATATTGTGTGCACCATCTGGATGAATTGCTGCAACAAATGCACTGCTGTGGTGTCACAGTTATACTTTTTACAGACCATAACAAACCTCACAGTGCAAGGGTTTATACAGTGTCACCACTGGAGGTTCATTGTATATTTAAAGATGTAAAAGGTCCCGAATGTAGTATTCCAACTTCAGATAGTGGTCATATATTGTGATACAAGACTCATCCTTGTCAGAAAATAACTTTGTCCTCTGTCCCAGTGTGTCCCCTAAGCCTCAGCTTGCCCTGCTCCGGTCCCTGTTGATTTGCTTATCTAAGCAGCAATTTGTTAGTGTGAGCTTAGAGTCAGGGCCTTGCAATGTCATGCTACAAATTAGATATACCCCTTGACCATGTTTTCTACTCTATCTCAAGAGGTGGAAATTAGATTAACTGTTTCATTACCCCCCAAAGCGTTAGTGTTGCAGGTTCAAACTCAGCTTGATCCCCTGTTGAAATAGTGAGTGAGTGTGTTCACATGCCTTTTAAGCAGTGCCACTCATTTTATTAGTCACTTTTTTCTTAAATTAAACAAAGAATGAAATTGTAATTTTCTGCATGAGCTCATCTAATTTAGTCATATACAGAGAAATAAAAGGCAAAGTGGATATAATTTAACTCAGTTAAAGAAGAAACTGTGACTCTCAAATAACAGATATCTACAACATTTAGCTATGGTCGACCAAACTGTAAGAAACACTGTCTTGCTAAATTAGACTGTGTTCATTATCTGTCTAGTACCCTCCTATCATCCACCCCCACATACTTACTCACACGCAGACACAACCTCAAGCTTTCACGTCAAGCTCTCTCTTTCTCACTGTTCTCTCTTTCTACCCTGCCTACGTTTCCATGGAAACAGGAGGTGGTCTCTCCCAGGACTAAGACAGTTGCTGCACAGTGCCTTGTGAGCTCCATGCTAATGACATTTCGGAATAACTTTTCCTGCTTTTTCTCAAAACTAAGCCATCAACACTGATATAGTTGAAGGAACATGATGTTTTCAGCTATTTGATGATTTCACGTACGAGAAGAGCAACAAAAGGGCCAAAATGGCTGTAGCATGCCACCTACACTCAGTGTCTCATATTTCAAAACCTTTTTCAAATTGAACCTCCCTTTTTTATAAAAGCTCTCCAATTTAAGCTAATTATGTAGTCCTCCCAAAGCAAAAATCTTGCAACCGTGAACCCTAACTAGTAATGTCTACTTTGCAGTTGACATGGAATTACTATCAAATTTGGAAAGTTCTTGGTCCTGCATGGCTTTTGTTCCCCCACAGATGTGTGTAACATTAATGATGAATTGAATATCAGTTGTGCACTGAGAACCTTTTTCATCTTAGCATAATACTGAAAGCAACTTATTATCAAGCTTTAGACCTTACCACTCTATTTATACATTTTAATATTTCAATTCATTTGGGTATTATCCATCTTGTTTCTGCACACATGCATTACAATTCGGAGTTGCATGGAGACTGAAGTCTATTCCAGAAATCAGTGGGCAAGAGGCCTTGTGCACCCGTGAAAACTCATCGATCCTTTACAGGACCAACCAAGACAAACCAGACAAACAATCAAACACACCCACATTCCCTAGGGTCAACTTAGAGAATTCTATAGACCAAACACACTTTTTTTTTTCTTCTTTGGGTGGGGGTGAGGGGGTGGGGGTGGAGTTAGTGGGATTACCTGGAAAAGACCCATTCATACTTTGAAAGAGTAGGCAAACTCCACACTGACAGGCCTCAGCCGGAAGCTTCATTCTGACGGAGTTAGTGATGCTAACCACCACAATAAGGTAAAAAAACATTATAACAGAAGAATTTTCAAGTCTTGAGTTACAAGACATGTGGTTCTCTCAGCCGATCTTCAGTTGAAGATGTGATAGACACCACCAGGTACATCACTCATAACTAAAAATGCAACACAATGGCCAGACGTAATTATCTACAGCTCAGTCCTCCCCCCGCAACACTTCCTCCTGCTGTGACAAAAGTGGATAATGATCCTTTCCCTGTTTAGTTCAGTTGGCTTTTTCAAACAGAAGCAAACCTGTAAATGGACTTTTGCTCTCAGAAAGCAGTGCCTAACCTCAATGCATTAGAGAAGCAGAGATGCTTTGCTTTTAAGAGAGAGCTTCTGGCTTGGGAGTCCTGCAAGTCCATTATCAGAGACATGGACATTCATGCTACCACACACACAGCATTACTTCAAAGACGAATATGCACATGGAGTAAACCCATACTGTACTGTACTCATATAGACAACACACTCCCCATCCTCACAGCCAACTTACAAGCTTCTCTCTCTGCAGAGAATCCAATCGCATAGAGAGATTTGGCCGTATCGCCCTAACTGGATTGCAGTAATCCCCTGTCTAACATGTTTTGGGGATGTGTGAGCGGGGTTAGGGGACATCATGCCAAGTTGAGCCAGGCTGCTAATGCAGAAATTTCTAGACAGATTTGAGCTAACATTTGGGCCTCTGTGCTCAGGTTTGATGATAGAGTACTTAGTATGGGTCAACTCATGAAGAAATAGGGAGAAACAGTGTGATAACAGTATTTCTAAACTGTATTTGAGCGCTGAGCGTCATCATCGTCCTTTGTTAAAACCCCTCACAGCCTTTACTGTGCATTTTTTGGTTTCAATTTATTATCTACTAAGGATGTTATGTATCTGGTTCTTATCTGTCATCATAGAGCCATCTCTAGACATCCCCATTATATTTATCACTATGTTCTCTTCTTAGGTATATCCTGCTCTCGTAATGTTGACAGGCACTCCCAAGGACACATGCATTACCTTACCGTGTCAGGATACAAATACTGTTACAAACATAGGTCTGCAGTGTTTGTATATCTCATGTTTTTCTTACTGCAAAACATGAAAGTGACACATGGCCCCACCTCTTAGTGAATGAACATATTTCGATAGTGTTTACTCGCTTTACAATCTATACAGGACCCTGACAAGTGAGCACTGTGGGCAGTACCTCAGAGGTCAAAACATGTTTTCTCATCATCTATTTAGACAGATATGCTCACCATAGGTTTACAGTGTCTTTGTTTATTACTGGAACAAGACCCCCAGTTAAGTATAGATATTATGACATTTATAGACACCATAAACTCAATGATGACCCCATCAGTTTTTACTTTGTGAATGCATAATTTACAATATTCCAAATCACTTTCTAGTGCCCTGGAATAAGGTTTGTCCAAACTGGGAGTGTAATTTAAATTTCCCAGTGACCACACTGGCATTCATTCTTCAGTTGGTCACCTGCTCCACTCAGAGAAAAGTTTCTCACTAATGAGTTTGATGTGGTGAGCTCATTAGCTATAACCTGAAGGGAGCTGTTCTGGCTGCGTGACGGGTGCCCCATGCCAAGTGTGCAAAGCTTGGAAGTCTCAACAGCTGTGACTGGAAAGAGCAGGGGCAGTGGGTGGCGGGAGGAAAATGCTCGAACAGATGCCTGGGGCCAAGACCCTGAGAAGAGAGCTGGAACATGTTACTGTGCACCGGGTTAATCATTGTGCACTAGATCCTTAATTGTCTCTCTCAAGAACTATTGCAAGAGGTTTTACTCACCTTGACTTTAAGGAGCATACAGTGTGTGACTAAAAGAAATCTGTGCATATATGGTCATTTTCTTTCTTTTATTTGTTAAGTTTTCGTTTGAGGGCATTTGTATATAGAAATTAAACAGAAACAGACAAATAGACATATACTACGTACATACATTCATAATACATTATTTTAAAGAAAGAAAATACTGATATTTAATATATACATAATTAATTGTGATATATACGACCCTGCATGCTAATAGGTACTTTAATTAAATGTGAAATGCCCCATTTAATGTTTAATTTGTCTTTAAAATATTCCACACAGCCTTGTTGAGAATCCGTGTATGGCTTAGGGCTTGTTTCCAAAACATAAACACTTTGACTAAAAAAGTAACTTAAAACTATGTTCCCATTCGACATTCAAGCATTCTGGCCTCTTCCCTTTAGCCACTGAGTAATAGTTCCTTCATATCTGCCACAGCATGCACTGATGCTCAAAATATAAATTATGACTATGGCAATTGGGTTTTTGAGCATCTTTAGCCCTCTATTACTCTAATAGAACATCTGAAAAACCAACTGCTTTGGTTTTGAAGTAGTTTATTGTGGTCTGGTAAAAAGATTACTGGACGAGGATCCCGGTACTAGATGCAGCTGCCATTAATTAAAGTCTACTGGTTCCTGCAGTAAGAGTAACAGATCTATATACAAATTAATCACCCGGCCTGAGTCCCACGGTCAGGGCTTCCTTTTCCACGGCTTTACAGTCCAGTCATGTCCGCTGTTGTTTACTGTGCTCCAGATCGAGAATTAAACCTGAATGAGAGTGATAAATCATCGTAGTGAAACACACAAACTCTCATTGCAGGTTTATGTGTTAGAGAGGTAAAGAGAAAGAGAGACAGGTAGAAAAAGCACAGCCTGCAGTCCGTTAATCAAGTTCAAAAAGATGGTTACAATGAATGTGTATGTGTGTTTATCTGTGTGTGTGTAAGGGCTAAAGGGGTCGCAGATTTTTCTTTTCCTCTTCTTCCCTTTTATGACCACTGTTTCATAGATAAAGGAGATTTATTATGGGAAATCTATAGAAAATGGAGAGGATGCTCCTAGGGATCCCAGATTAGGCTACTAATAGACTAGCTGCCATGTGATTAATGTGTTTTATCAAAAGTCATCTGTCATTAATGTTTGGAGAAAATCCTGAACATGTTTAGATTTATAAACCTAATTTGGTTAATTTCTTCATCAAAGTATTTTTAAACACCCCTTATTTGCATTCTTGTCTTTCCTCAGGAAATGCAACACTAGTCCTTTTTTTGCATCTAAAGACAGCAATTGGTGTCATGATTGATATACATATGGTAAACAGCCTCGTCGTAGCTAAAAGAGAAAAAAGATAAACAAGTGCATCTATATCTTGCACATGTGTTCGTCTATATATGTATATATTCATCTTAAGTATGTTTTACAAGTAAACCTTATATGTCTGTATATCTTACATAAATATTTGCTTTTGGCTTTTTTTAGGTACCATCTCTATCAATACCCTTCGTACTGCCTACACAGCCCCTGGAGACAGTGAGATCCTGGACTTGGATGACAATCTCTATCTCGGGGGCCTGCCAGAGAACAAAATGGGGCTGGTGTTCCCCACTGAGGTGTGGACGGCGTTGCTCAACTATGGCTATGTGGGCTGCATCAGAGATTTATTTATTGATGGCCAGAGTAAAGATGTTCGACGCCTGGCAGAAGTGCAAAAGGCTACCGGGGTCAAACCCTCATGCTCCAAAGAGCCTCCAAAACAGTGTCTGAGCAACCCCTGCCAAAACAATGGGATCTGTAGAGAGGGTTGGAACCGCTATGTGTGTGACTGCTCTGGGACTGGATACTTAGGACGCTCCTGTGAAAGAGGTACTTTTTCTTATGTCTTGTCTGATTTTGTCTACCTTCTGTAAATCCTTTAAAGATATTGGCTGGTTGACAAGTCTTTGTCACTATGAAATGGTGCTCATGTGTCCTCTTAACCATATAGTTTTCATAATGATTGGCCCTCTTAGAAGCAATATCATTTATGTAATAATGAGCCACAGCCAGAAAAATAATATCATTTTTTAATTGGTTTTGATTGTGTCTTGTGTAGATGCAGTTCTCTTTGTCTAATGGATGCTGTTTTCAAGTTCAGGTCAAACTGTCACCACACAACAATCTCAAGGTTGTCTTTTTGTCCAAGCAGATTATTTAAGTTTAGCCATTTTAAAATAGTGCTTCTTTGTGAAAATCCCTCTTCATGAGCACATAAGGAGGGATTTTCACAAAGAAGCAGACAGAATAAGTCAGGATGTGTCGGGTTGATATTGGACCCTGTTGAGTGGCAGCTGACTGATGGACCACTGAGACAGTGCTGGTCACGTCCACCATGCACACTAGCCTGTAAATTGGCTTTCTTCGGCTTAGCATTTGCCTCATCGAATCATTCACTCATAGCCAGCCCTGGTGCAGAATACTTATCTGTGTCTCCTCTGGAGAAGAGAAATGGGAGAAGAGTGTGTCACATTGTGAAATCTTTAAGGGTTTTAGTTGAAGAAGACTTAACCCTGACCCTGCAGTCGTTCATTTCATGTTTAGCTGGAGTTGTATTGGTGCTCACAGGAAAACTGAACCATTTTCCTAAATTCCATGATAATATTTTGTGTTTTTTGTTCGTAATTCTATTTTCCCTTTATTGATTTTCAAGGGTATACATTTGACTCTTCTAAAAATGAATGTGTACCAATCCATACGATTTTGTAACACTGAACCTAGATACATCCTCCTGCAATGTTCTGATATGAAAAAATGAGTTATTGCGCTCATCATGCTTGAAGTTTTGTAAAGGTTTTGCATTTTTTACCAAAGTTAATGGAAGGGAAAAACCAGCTGCGTGTGGAAGAATTTATAGACAAAGGTTATCTGCTCGTGGGCTGTTGTTTGAAATTTAGATTTTATACTCATTCAAATATTATCATACTGAGTGATGAAATATTGATCCAAAGTAAAATTCAGAAAAGATAATTTATTTTCTGATATGAAGAATATTAGCAGCTGTGGTTAGCACAGCTCAGATATAGGTTAACATCTTTCAGCAGTGTATACAGTCTCAGGATAACAGCTGCAAACAAGCAGAAAACACCAAATATATTAATAATCAAGGTAAATGTCAAAAAGGGCCCAGGCATGTGACACCATTATCACAGTGTGACACAACTGATGCTGTCATCTCAAAACAAAAATGAACTAAAGTTGGAATGTCACATCCCACACATCTAAATGTGTCAGCTCTTTTTGTGCTTCTGCCATTCCTCTGTATTCAGGTCTTTCACTTCATAGACTGTATTGAGATATTAACTATTTCTGGTTGAAATTGTAATGATACATAGATACACCTGAATATGCACAAACATCTGTCTTTTTATATTATTTTTAACCATCACATCTGAATGCCTGACTTTACCCTTAAACCTAATCTAAAACCTAATTCTAACCCTGACCTTAAAACCAAGTTTTAAGCCACAAAAAATCACTTTGTATTATTGGGGACAAAAGTTGTCATATCAGAAAGCTAATATCTGTAATTCCGGTGGCTATATGAGTTAGGTCCTCCAGTGGTGACTTGAATTTTACGCATGGATTTTCATTCTAGCTAATGAGATGTCAGGAATATCAGGAATACAACATCAAGCTTGAGTGGAGAAAAGGTTCCAGATTACTTATCTTGAAGAAGATAATTACTTATCAGAATAAAGCGGTCAGATGTTAAAAATTAAAATAAAAAAGACAAAATCCACATTGATATCCAGCTGAAAAAAAGTAGTCCACTTTTTAAAAAAAGCCTCAAATTCAGAAGTGCAAAAATGTCTACCTCTGTGACCTGTCCTCCTTCTGAACACATAAGAGTCTTTTAGGTCTCAGTTCGTCTCGTCCAACTCTCATTCTGCGGCTGTGTCTACTCTTATGTATGAGAGTGACATTATGGACGGTGTGAGTGGGAGCAGTGGTATGGATGGGCCCTGGCATGCTGCCAGCTGTTTTGATGGCTCCAGATTGCCTCTGCACTGGTAAGATGAAGCAGGCACCAGCAGGCTAAGGAGCTGTCAAAAGAATTACCCCAGCTCTCACTTATCTAGCCATTGTGTACCACCCGGTGGCAAAATACAGCTACTGCATATGGCAGAGGAGGAGCAGAACAATAAGAGGAAGAAATAGTAGGTGGAGTTTCATAAGAGATCCATGGAGCTATTTGCCCTATTTTGAGACATTTTAATTAAGCAGACAAAGCAATTTTCCTCCTGCATCCCAAATGTCTTCCCCTTCATTGTTCTTCCAGTTGCTAATTGGCCCAAATATTAGTCTTGCAGTGTTAGGCTAAAGCAGCCTCCCAGATGGTGTAGTAGGTGGATTGCAGCACATATTCCCTAATGAGGTATATGGCATGCTTGATGCCTGAACTGACAGCATCTGCATTATGTCGAGTGGACTGGGGGCTCCAGATGAGTGTTTAACTCACACATGCTTACAATGAGTGAA